GTCGTGTTTTGAAAACTCATCGTTCCTGTTCTCTAAAGATTTTCCGACTCAGTCGCAACCAAATTGCCGATGCTTATTTATGAGCCCATTATTTTATATTAATCTTAACTTCTTTGCGAAAACCCAGCCTCCACATCTTTCCCTTTACTGTGCATTCTAGATGTCTTCGAAACCCTTCCTCCACTCATTATATTTAACTGCGTCATAAGCTCCAAGTGCTTTGGCTCCAAATCTAATGCATCTCGTCTCCATTGCGGCCTAAAGCTGCCCATGAGCTACATTTACACATATTAAAATCACTCTCTCTTCAAATGATTATCTCATAAAGTTCTGCGTTACTGGAGAAAGTCAAATGCAAACCATAAGACAACATTCTCACGGGCTTCGCCCTCACCGCTTTGCAAGGTCTATCTTAACTTCTTTCTTATTCTCATCTATTCGCTTTCAAAATGTCATCTGAACAATTGCTACAATCTTCTACAACACTAGTTATTTCATCATGACTGCACCTTCAAGAACAAGCTCATTTAATAGGCAATTAAAAAATCATCTCAAAGAATGAAGTCCATCCTTTCCATCTTGAGGTAGCACCAACATCTTTCATTGAAGAAGGTTCGACAAGTCTATGTTAAACTTACTGACAAAAGTTTGTTATACTATAATGCTTTCGGTGGGCGAATACATGTAGTTTTGAAAGAACATAAATAGATTCTTCAGCAAATTCACTTATTACTGGATTTTTATAACAATGTTCTCACGAGACCAATACCCTCACCAATTGACAATCTTGTAAGCAATTCGCTGCTGAAACCTTCTACTGTAAACATCGATAGTAACATTCCACGAAGGTTCTCTATTGGACATCGTGAGTCACTGAATTTAAATGATTTTCTTAAAGCAATCGTTCATTATCTAACCATGCAATACTTTTGAAGTTTTCATTCGAACATATACATCGTTGCTTCATTAAATGTAAAACCCTGACTTCTTTGCAGAGATGACTTTAAAATCTATTGAGTTTGTTTCAAATTTATATGCTATGGTAACTTCTGAAGGTAATGAGGCCCTTCCGCAAAGTAAGTTTTCTCTCACTACCGTTTGAGCGTGTGTTAAAAACTTTTCATGTCATCTCCGTGTCTAGGTTCACATTACACAGCAATGGGGAAAACTATCTTGCTTCTTGTTTCATCATTTTATACCTCAAAAACATGAAAGCTTCTTCAATATATTGTCCTTCCTGCTGGAAATACTTCGAACCTGTCTGATTTCAATAGCTTTTCCTCACTCCTACATACTCTACCCAGTGTCTTGGATATTCATAAGTATACTGACTTTCTTGAATTTTGTGGTTCTTCGCATAACGTGTTCATCAGTCAAACAGACAAACCATCTTTATACTCTTGTCAGTTTAGACTCGGTGCTATGTTCCTGAATATTTCTGACTTTGCATTTTTAAATGGAGATAAAATGAAAGCATTTAATACATGACGTAGATGAAAGACATGAATGAAACTCAGACAAACTTTAAACTCTTCTCTCATTCTTCCTTTCAGCAAAGCATTATGAATTCTGTTCAAATGGTGTATTTCTATTGTGGAAAGATGGTGTTCAGGTTAAGACATTTAACCTCATTCCGTCATATACTCAATAACAGAGCGTTTAAAGTCAAGATTCATATATGACCAAATCATTATATCAGGCAACTTCAGACTCTATTGGACTCAACAGCGAAAACATTTATGTCAAAAGTTCAAGGCATCTGTCGTTAAGTTCCAGGATAAGCGAACTTCATGAAATTTCTTCAACGTTACGTTCGACGTTAAAGAGGAAATTATTATGCCATCGCTTGAATTTATACAGTCAGGAATGCAAAAAGACTCAGAATAGAGATGGAAAGAATTATTGACAAACACCACTTACGTCAATACTCAGGAGTTACGATATGAACGACCTTACAAACTACATTTCTGTCAAAACTTTCAAAATACCCCTTCAAAAAAGTATCCTCAAATACTCTGCTACGTGTTTGCGACCGACTGTCAACCAGCCGCACTGGAAAAAGGTTTAGTGTCAAAGCCTGAACTCAACCTTAGCTTAATATCATTTACTAAAGTCAGACATTACACTTAACTGTTAGCAATACTTATGCCCAAAACATCGGCGCCGTTTTCTTGCTTTTAAAACATTAAAAACTCTTCATAATGAACTTCGTTATCTTGTACACACTCTGGCTACTTCTCACGCATCACTGACATGTAGTGAACTCCATTTTGGAAACAGTCAGGTTATAACATTACCTTTTGACAGAAAATTTTGGAAGCATATAAGTCTCTCATCTCTCCTCGTTTCATACCTAGAGATTCATTATATGACCTAATACCATTAAGCAAAATATTTCCATGGGAAACGACCAACATTGTGGTTTAAAGTTTAACCTTCCAATTGACTGATGGTAAAACAAATTCCATGCATCTCTGTCGCCAATTTACTGCTTAATAATTTTTGCTGGTCCATTACATATCACTCCATCTTCCCCATCCGTAGCTTCATTGAGGATATGCTTAGAATAGCTGTTCTTAAATGAAGGCTTTTCACCTGTTGAGGCATAAACTCTATAATTTCTGCATACTTTATCGTTCTAGAACCTCCTGACATCATTACATTTAAATTTTTATAGGCTTCCACCCTTTTTCAGTTCCTTGCTTCTTCCCTTGCTCTTTTGTCAGTAGTTTCTACATCTTTATTACACAGCACCTGTCTCCAGTGATTCAACAAATATTTTCTATTCTTAGCTTTACATTCAACGCCTTGTCGAGTATATTGTTCATTTCATAATATAAAAGTTTTTATTCTATATTTGAAATGAGAAGCAAATCCCATCTTAGCTTGGTGCCGTTAATGTTCCAATTGAACCAACATCAAATGTTGACTCACGAACGACAAAAATAATTGTATTAAAGAACTATAGTTCGAAGTTTGAAAGAAAAAGAACCAGAACTGAATCCGTGAATTTAAACTCAGCTTCAACGCTAAACGCTAATCAATGTTAAGTTATAGATATCACACTGGACCAAGTTTCTTTCAAGAGAAGCCAACGACAACCACTTACACAATGTTCAAACAACATCCTCAGATTAACGTAGACCATTACCTTCTTCATTATACCAAACAATTTTACTCAAAAGACGGATAAGAAGCTTTTGACCAAATCTTATAAGCAAGAACACAAATAATTCTTAACAAAGGAGGACTTGAAAATGTTATATCACGAATAACAGGGAAACACCATGTGTCATTGACTATCTCGACCTGAAATGAATGCGTTGGTCAAACGCCACCATTCATGAAATAGGTACATCCGCATCATTGAAACACAGGAACTACAGGAGTTTGTAGTTTAAGTATAAAATATTCGAACGAGTATACAAAACTTTCGAACAGAATTATAAGCTTTTTTGCAAATATGTTTTTAGTAAATTAAAGCAATTGTAATATTCTATCCAAAACTCTTCAAACAGTATTCGAACTCATTTCTAATGCAAAACCCTAATCTTATTGACTTGGTGCAGTTTTCACTAACACCAATATAGCGCTTTGCGCTGCGGCGCCTTTGGACGCCTTTTTCTGTTCTCTTGACTGACATAAACTAACTCATTTGTTTCATGCAAACAGCAATAAACCAAAGTTCGATGACCTAATAGCATAACATCCATATTTATATTTTTAGCTCTGAGTTCGCTGTAAAGCATGTTGCATTAATCATATTTTCTAAAAGTCAAACTTCTAACGTCATATCTCGGCCACCTGGTCGCCTTCAGTTCTACAGGGCTCTCCTCTTGAAAGATCAAACATAGTCTGCAATTGCATGTCTTTTCAATTATGGACTAATGCGAACCCATCTGTACCTTAAATGAGTTACTATGACAGGAACGTTGGATTGATGACAATTGAAGTTGGGACTGCATAAACAGAAGGATTTATATCTACTGAAAACGCTATTACGATTAACTCCTGAATACCGTGTGACATTAGCTATTTTTGACGCGTCACGTAATAAGATCAGATACCAGGTCAACTACGTATGGAAGCCAGATTTTCATCTCAATGTTTTGTACAAACTT